AGCTGGGGCCGGTGCTACCCCACAGGCCGACGTGCTTCGTCAGCGCCGCCCCGTCCGGGTCAGGCCTGGGGACAGGGCTAGGAATGTGGCCCCGAGCCCTGATCGCCCTTGTTCCCCGCCACCCCCCCCCCCGTGATTGGTATTCGCTCGCGCGTGTGTACGTGAGTGTGTGCGTGTGTTGCTCTCCCGTCCAGATTGATTGTAAACTGCCCCCTGCCCGACCCAGGACCGTGCCTTCCTCCCAGTCTCTGGGCCGTAGGCGCCCCCCACAAAATGTTATTTGATAACATCTTTTCAGCAGATGGAGTTGGAGGAGGGCAAGGCCGGGAGTGGGCTGCGACAGTATTACCTGTCCAAAATCGAGGAACTGCAGGTGAGGCCGGGCACTGGAGAGAGGGACTGAAGGTGGACATCGTTCCAGGAGTAATCATCGTTCTCGTTCACGTCGCTCAGGGAGGGAATGGGGGTCAAGTTTGGGGGAGGGGAAAGAGAAATCGTTTTCCAAGGACCTTAATCCTTAGGGAGGGATCCTCTGAAAGAAGGAGGGTGTCGTTGCTGGGCTCAGAAGAAAGTGAGGGAAGAGAGAGTGGGGGCAAGGGAAGTTGGGCTTGCCAGATATGGAGGGGGTTGCGTTAAGAAAAAAAAAAGTGAGGTGAGGAAGCTTGAGAGCCTTCAGCATGGTGAGTACTGGGAAGACAGTACTACTGTTTGGGGCCTGAGCTCAAGGAAGACAGAAAACCCAGTATTTTAATTTTTAGAGAGGATCTAAGAATAGAAACTGGGTGGAATGAAGACATATTGAAGGATACATTCCTAAACTTCAGTGGGGGCTTTGATGCCTTTATAGGGAAGATAAAGTATCTAACTAGTAGAGGTAGGGTTAGTGGCTATGTGGTCTGCATTAGAGACTTCGTTGTTTTAGTGAATAACTGACCTGGGTTTTAAAAAAGAAAGGTCCCCTAGAATTCTGAAGCCCTGTTTGTGAGGGCCTGTGGTATCTAGGGTAGAATTAGCTTCTTCTTTGGACCTTTTTGAATCATGGCAGTACTCTTTGAGGGATAGAACAGGGTGAGTGTGATCAGTTTGCCAGAATCTGAGACCAGATATAGTGGACCTTATTCTTCCTTCTAATCATGTTTAGAGAATTTGGCTAGGAAGGTTTTTTGTTAGCTACTTGCCTGTGGATTATACTGTTTGTCTTCTGCCCACTACAGTTGATTGTGAATGACAAGAGCCAAAATCTCCGTCGTTTGCAAGCACAAAGAAATGAGCTAAATGCAAAAGGTAGGAGTCCAGCAGTAGTGACTGAGAGTCATAGATTCTGGGTTTTGTTTTGACTTTCTGGGTACCCTTGTTAACACTTCAAATATTAACACACTCTAGTATACATATGATTGAGTAGCTATGGGGTGCAGTAGATAAGAGTGCCAGGCCTGGAGTCAGGAACTCATTTTCTTGAGTTCAGATCTGGTCTCAGATACTTACTAGCTGTGTGACCCTGGGCAAGTCACTTAACCTTGTTTGCCTCAGTTTCCTCAGCTGTTAAATGACCTGGAGAAGGAAATGGCAAACCATTCCAGTATCTCTGCCAAGAAAATCCTAAATGGGATCACCAAGAGTTGGACGTGACTGTAACAATTGAACAAAAGCATATAATTAACGTTATGATTAGCATTATTTCCATTTCCATTGGAAACTTTTTAAGGTCAATGAAAATATCTTATGCTTTACAAACAGTGCTTGAATTAATTGAAACAATTGATGGGCTGGAATGGGAATCAGTTAACTTGTTGAGCTATTTAGCAAAACCTTAGTAAGATAACTAAAAAAAATGCTTATATTTGCTTCCTGTACAGTGCGCCTGCTACGGGAGGAGCTGCAGCTGTTGCAGGAGCAGGGGTCCTATGTGGGGGAAGTGGTCCGAGCTATGGATAAAAAGAAAGTTTTGGTCAAGGTATAGGGTTTGACCGCAGGGGCTGAAATAGGTCTGTTTGCTATATACTGTACCCCTTAGACAGTGGGACAGTGTCTTGGGAGGGAACAGTATCACGTCTTGCTGGTTGGTTGGTGTGTGTGTGTGTGTGTGTGTGTGTGTGTGTGTGTATATATTTTCTTAGCATTCCTTGACTTTTCCTTGGTTGTATGACTCGGTACCTAGGATGGAGGCTGGTACCACTTGGAAAGCTAACAAGCTCCTCTCTCTAGGTACATCCTGAGGGGAAGTTTGTGGTGGATGTAGATAAGAACATTGACATCAATGATGTAAGTGTAGCAACTCCAGGAATAAAGGGGGTGAGGGGCTGGGGTGTATATGCTGTATTCTAGTAACATCATTTTCTAAAACTATCTACCACAACCAGGTGACACCCAATTGCCGTGTGGCCCTTCGAAATGACAGCTACACCCTGCACAAAATTCTGCCCAACAAAGTAGATCCATTGGTATCTTTGATGATGGTGGAAAAAGTGCCTGATTCAACCTATGAGATGATTGGTGGCCTAGACAAGCAGATTAAGGAGATCAAAGAAGTGATTGAACTGCCTGTTAAGCATCCTGAGCTCTTTGAGGCACTAGGCATTGCACAGCCCAAGGTGAGGGGCAGGATTTACTGTGAGAGCTAAATTGGGGGTTCTGATCCATGCCCTGCACCACATCCCAATATTAAGTCACCAGGAGGTTAGAGGCAGTTGTGCCTGAAAGGCACTAATTGGGATATGGGAAAATAGGTGGACTTTACCATGAGAGAACTGAGTTTTGCTTACCCTACCCTAGGGTGTGTTGTTATATGGACCTCCAGGAACTGGCAAAACTCTCTTGGCTAGGGCTGTGGCTCATCACACCGACTGCACCTTTATTCGTGTCTCAGGCTCAGAATTGGTACAGAAATTCATTGGTGAAGGTGAGCATGCTACCTTTCATGGGGAAGATAAAGTCATGAGGTGAGGGGCCAGTCAGAATACTTCCCCTGCTTTGGCACTGAGCTTTTGACACATTTGTGTTTTTCAGGGGCAAGAATGGTACGGGAGTTGTTTGTTATGGCCCGAGAACATGCCCCCTCCATCATCTTCATGGATGAGATTGACTCCATTGGTTCCTCACGTCTAGAAGGTGGCTCAGGGGGGGACAGTGAAGTACAGCGAACGATGCTAGAGCTGCTCAACCAACTAGATGGCTTTGAAGCCACTAAAAACATCAAGGTGGGAAGGATTCTGTTTGGAGTGGGTAGAGGAGAAGAAAGGGGTAGAACCTAACCTACGAAAGATTATGAGCCCTCTTCCTTCTCACAGGTTATCATGGCCACCAACAGAATTGACATCCTGGACTCTGCTCTACTTCGCCCTGGTAGAATTGACAGGAAGATTGAGTTCCCGCCCCCTAACGAGGAGGTTGGTGGTAGAGAGCAGCCAGGGGAAAGTGCAGCTGCCTAAGAGGGGGGAAATGTGGTGCTCAAGGCTTCCCTCTCCTCTCTACCACTACAGGCACGATTGGATATCTTGAAGATTCATTCTCGGAAAATGAACCTGACTCGAGGCATTAACCTGCGGAAAATTGCAGAGCTCATGCCTGGAGCATCAGGGGCTGAAGTGAAGGTAACTTAAGAGTACGTGTGAAGGGAAGGATGTTTGTTCAGGAGCTGTGATCTGAGAGGCCTGTTAAGAGGATGTCATGGTGTCTTTTCTCATCCAACTTTCTGTGTGCAGGGTGTGTGTACAGAAGCTGGGATGTATGCCCTTCGAGAAAGGCGTGTCCATGTCACCCAGGAAGACTTTGAGATGGCAGTAGCCAAGGTAAAGAGGCTGTGATTGGGGGAGGTGGGAAGTCATAATACACTGGAACCTGGTCTGCCCCTTTTCTGGGCTGTGACTTTGGTAAAGAGGGATAGGACCAAGCTGGACCCTATTGCAACAGCCTGTCATTTCTTCCTTCAGGTCATGCAAAAAGATAGTGAGAAGAACATGTCCATCAAGAAACTATGGAAGTGAAATGGCCAGCCTTACATCTCCCAAATAAAGCTCACTGGGACAGTTAGTTCTCCTATGATTGTAGTCTTTGCTACCCTTCATTGCAACTCAGAAATGTTTAGTGATCAGACTCAGAAGGCACAAATAAACAAAAAGTATTTATTTGGAAAATTTTCCAAAGTAGCCAAAAAATGGTACTTGTTGCCCTGTCTACTCCCCTTCCCCCAGCCCCTATGGAGCAGCAATACCCTTCCCCTCCACCATGCAAACATCCATACTTCCCCTACCCTTTCCCCTCGGGCCTTTCTGAGGCCAAAGGAATTAAGTCTTCCTAAGGGAGATTTCACTTTATCCCACCTCCTTCCACCCCTAATGAAGAGGCAAAGCTGGGACCACTGCCTGACACCCAAGGAGATGATGGCGGCTGGAGCCCTTAGCCGCTTGCATAGATTAAGAAAATGAGGGGAAGGCACCAGGTAGAGCTCCTAGGAAAACCCCCAACCAATCCCTGTACAAAAAGGTGTTTCCCACTTAGAAAACCTGTTCCCCAAATAGTGCAAATACCTGAAGGAAAGGAAGAGACCAGCAGTGACACTGGGCTTGTGGGAATGGCAAGGAACTTTGGTTTAGAAAGGCCAGGGAAAGCCTAGGGTGTGCCCTCTTACCCCTGTCTGGCTCCCTGGTGCCAGCTCTGACCTCCTTGAGGTCAACACCTGTAAACATAAAAACCCAGGGGTATTTGGTTCTGAAATTTTGCAATTACGATGTCAAAGCCCAACCCCCTAGGGCTGCCACAGCCCCCAGAGGTCCTGCTCCGGCCTGCCCATAAGGACAAAGGAGGCATCTGCTGAACCCAATTAAAGCCAGCGCAAAAGTGAATAATAAGGCTGTGGGGCCCAAGCGACTATGAATCCTATGACTACGTTTATGCAACTAAAGCTGGGAAGATGGGGTAGTGGAGGCTTCTCCACCCCATCCTATCCCACCTCCCCCTAAGCCCAGCGGGGGCACAGAGGGTGGCACCATTCCAGTCTGAGGAGGGAGTGGCTGCAGGAATAAAGAAGGCTCCCTGAGCTGCTAGGTCAGGCGGATTCCCAGCACCTGTTCCAGTTCCTGCCTGCGCTGCTGCACCTGCAAGTTGGAAAACGAGGGGGAGGAGAGAGAGAAGACAGGTAAGCCTGAGACCTGCAAATTAATAAGAGGAAAGAAAAGGAAGACTAGCCTTTTTCATCTAGGCCTACTGAGACCAGGAAACCCTGACTAGTCCTTACCTTGGCAAAAATGTGCCTCCCTACAGCTTCCTGGGCCCAGGGCTGATGGTAGAAAGCAGCTCTCCTTTCTTCCTCTGGGTTACCTATCACATCTGTGATGATCTATTAGGAGGAAGCAGAAACCATGAGAGCACCCCCAACAATCCATCAGAGGAGTAGGGAGGAAGATTGAGTTGGTGTCCTTACTGGTGTTCAATATACTGTATTACCTCCCTCCCCAACCCATCTTCTCCTACCTTGAGATCTCGTCGCTGAGAACGCAACCATTCCTGAATGAAGTCCTGTGGGTCAGTGCTGAAACTGAGCATGAAATCCCTCTGAGTCTTCAGCTGGTTGATGGACTCGATGGTTTCGTGGATCTGAGGAGAGTTGTGTCAGGCAAACCCATTCTCCCTGGGGTTCTGCTCAAAGCCCTGAATTCAAAGCATAAGAACAGATACCCCATCCCAAGGGTCTCTAGGGAATGGAGGCAAAGCAGAACTATCATAGCTTACCCCTAGGAGGCAAAAGCCTACCTTAATATCCAGGGATGCAATCTCCTGTTGGTTGGTGGTGGAGGCTAGAAAGTTGCTCATCTGTGCCTTGAGTGGATCGTCTACCTCAACATCAATATCATAACAAGCTGTCTTCTTCTGGTCATTGGGGTCCACACTATGCCAAACCCAAAGGGAAAAAGGATGGGATGACATAGAGACCACAGATCCTGGGGCCATCCACTCTTCCACACAACCCCAGAACCCATTTACTTTGTGTATGGCAAATGCAAAAGGATTCACCATTTTCCTAAAAGACCAAAGTAAGGGTGGTCCTTCTAAGCCCTCAAACACTTGTTTACCTGATGACATGATTGATGACAATGGGGTCTGGATGCTGCAGCAGCCCAGCCAGTTTCATGGGTATCTCCGAGAAACGAAGACGCCCACAGCTAAAGATCTAGAGAAGAAGCAACTGGGGTAAAACAGAGCCAGGCTATGGGCAAGGGGTGGGGTGAGGTGGAAGCTGGCTAAAGTCTGGGAAGGGCACATAGGGCCTACAAGACCAGCAGTCTTGCAGAATAATATGAAGCAGAAACTATTTCAAGGACTCAGGGAGGCTGGCATGGGCATGAGGGAGGGCACAGAAGGGAGGTATTGGAGTGCTGACCTGGCGAAAGTAGCGGTTACAGTTGATGTATTCATGCTCGTGCCCATCTTGCAGCTGGTTGTGCTTAATGTACAGCCACAGTGCCTGCATGATGGCAGCTCGGGTCTGGGTGTGCACACCGAGTAGCCGAGCCAACCGAGGGTCCAGCTTGTATTGGGGCGGCTGGGGAGAGACCAAGGTGGAAAGTCAGAGCAGAAGCCCAGCTGCCACACAGGCAACTGTATATTCACCAAAGAGTAGCCCTAGGAAATCACCTGATGATCCAGCATAAGCAGAAGGGTACACTTAACATTAAGGTCCCCAGGGCGTTTCACTTGGAAGCCATCTGTCTCTTGGGTTGTGGGCAAACGGTGCCACTGAGGAGAAGAAGGATCCCTCGTATGAAACAATACATATGTGGGACTCTGTCCCCCAAACATAGCAGAGTTCATGGTATTGCCTTACTCTCCCCTTGGCTTAGGCTGGTCTCACCTCCACCAGATGGTTATCAGGTCCATAAAGCTCCTTGTCCAGCTCAATGACCAGACTCTTAAAAAATGAAGAAAACTTCCTCTTCTGTTTGCTGGGCTAAGAGATGGGAAGGAGCGGCTAATTAGCTATCCGACCTCCCCCCAACCCCCTCCCCTGCCAAGTGAGGCCTATTCCAGCCCTGGTACTGAGGGGGATTTGGGCCTTTTCAGGAGACAACAGGACTTAGGGGAATGGTAGGGTGGGAGTGGTGGAGTTCCCAATGACAACCTAACACCTCTGTTACCTCCCTTCTGTCTTCTCCCCACAAACCCCTTTCATTTTCAACTCACATCATCCAGTAGCTTTCCCTCCACTCGAAGTTCCCAGGAGGCCACTTTGTCCCCTGCTGGAACTGACCCTGGGGCTCCCACTGTAGCTCCCGAAGCTCCTGCCCCTTCACCTTCTGCCTTGCTGGGGCTGAACGTGTTAGAAATGTAGATTCGAAGCTTTCGTTTTTGCTACGTAAAAAGAGACAGGACATCGCTTGGAGTGAGGGTTAGCTCATGTTAAAAGACTGCCAGCCTCCTCCAAAGGACTGCCTTCCAGCAGGCCCCAATCCCAATTCTAGATGGAATCCAAACTTTAAAGAGCAAGAGAACAGCCATATCTCCCAAGTTGGGTGAGAGGAGGGGAAAATCCCACAATCTTACCCCAACCCCACCCAGGTGTCTGCTGTGGACCACTGATGCTAGAATAAAGGCAAGAGAATTTGGGAAGGAATGGAATAGGGAATATACACACCGTCAACGGTTTCTTGATGGCCTCCTGGATCTCCATTCGCTTACGGGCAATTGTTTGGTCCAGTTTACGCTCAAAGGCCAAGAGGTCCATATATGCCTGAGACTCTGGGACTAGCTCCCGAATCTTGTGGTTGGGGAAGGAAAAAGGATAAGCATCAAATACCCCACCCTTAGTTACCTCCCCAACTCCAAATCAGCTAAATATATGTGCATTTATGGATCAAAGATCTAGGACTAAAAGAGACTTTAGAAGTCATCTAGACCAACCCTTTCATTTTACAGATGAGGAAACTGAGGCCCAGAGAGATTGTCCAAAGTCACTCAGGAAGTAAGACTCAGTCCTGTGGCTGCAAGTTTCATTCTCTTTCCACTGTTATCAGGTCCAGTTTAAGGGAATTCCCTCTTCCTGCCAGTTACCCACAGGGCTTTCCTCCCAAGCCTAATACTTACTCGCTGAGGTAGAACCTTATCTGCCATCTTTCTTCTCTTTAGCCTGGGAAGGAAGGAGAGACATCAGAGAGTCACCCACAGGCTTAATAAGAACACAGACCATCTCTCCATCGCCTCTCTGCCTCAAGCCCTAGTTTCTCAACCTTCTCCTAGCAAAAGACTGCCAGACAACAAGCTTCATTCACTTTGGTCTCAGGCCAGGAAGAAACTGTTCTGCCAGGAAAGGTAGTGGTAGGGAGGGCAGGGAAAACAGACAGGACTTACCCCCGGCGCTGGGTGGGCATTGGAGGCTGGGGCTGCGGCACAAGCAGACGTTTCCGGAATGGGTCCATCATAGTAGGTGGCATCCCAGGCCGAAGTGGAGAAGCTGTGCCAAAAGGAGTGCCAGCTGGGGGTCCCACCTGTAGGCCACTCATAGGTATCCTGCTTCCTGGAGACATCCCAGGGCGCTGTAGGGAAAGTGGAACAGTCAGGGCATAGGTTACTGGGTATGCTCGACAAGGCCTTCTACCCATTCCCTCCATCCTTCTCCTTTTGGTCACTGTTGGCCCATTTTGAACCCTGGGCTACGTAGAGCTTTGACTAGTCCACACAGTGAGATGACTCAGTGGAAGACAAAGGGGAGCAGGCGCCTGAATGCAAAAACATAAGCCACACCTGCCCCACCCCCACCAACCGCCCAGGCAGCTGTGCCAGCGAATAGGATGGGAGCAGCCTTACCAAAGCACAAAGAACAAGGGGGAAAGCTCTCCTCCAGAGAGTGAACTGGTGGGAGGAACCCAACCTCTTTCAGGTTCTAGTTCCCAGCATGCAGCTGTGCTACCTTTCCTGAAGGCTCAGAGCAACCTGTCAAGGGCTCTTCACCTGGCACCACAGGGCCTCTCTCTTCTGCCCTGGCGTACAGTGCAAACTAGAGAAAACATCCTGGCCAGGCCATTCTAGTCTACAAACTGCCACCCGTTGTGTCAGACAGAAGCCAGGCTAATACTGATAACATGGCTGTGCTAATGACAGTAGTTCAGAGACAGATAGATGGTGGGTCAAAGCCACAAACAGCCTCTCCTCTGTATCTCAACTCTACCCACAACTCTCTGCCAATGCCACTATGATTCAGAGAAAGCAATCTCCCTGTGCTACCAATACCACCAAGCAGTGAGAGGTAAGATTCTTAACAATGGGAACTGTGTCTATAGAAGGGTGAAGAGGGGGAAGAAGGGTTCCCAAACACCACCCATTCACCGCTAAGAGATCTAGGAAGCAGGGGGAAAGAGCAAAGCAGAGGCACTGGAACTTTTAAATACCCCAAATACTTAACCCAAATTGGGCCTTTCTGTCAAAGTTTAAGCCCGTAGGTAACCTGGGAGAGAGAAGATGGCCCTGCTTCTATCCTTGACTCCATCCCTTCCTATTTACTGCAGCATATTCCCACAATCATCATCAACACACACACACACACACACACACACACACACACACACACACACACACACACACACACACACACACACACACACCCACACACCCCCTTCAGTTTCTCTCTATCTACTGGCCCATTCCCTACTGCCTACAAATATGGGCAGGTCTCTACATTCTTAAAAAACCCTCATTTGATCCTGCAGTCTTCTCAGCTCTCGTCCTACCTCTCTTCCCTTTTATAACCAAATTCCTCGAAAAAACTACACTTATTGCCTCCACTTCCTCTCCTCTCCTCAACTCTTGGCAATTTGGCTTCCAATCTTACCCACTTAACTAAAATTGCTGTCTCCAAAGCTACCAGTGATCTCTTAATTGCCACATGCCAAGGATTCTTCTTAATCCTTATCCTTTTTGATATCTCAGAAGCATTTGACACTGATACTGATTCCTTGACACTCCCTCTTCGAAGTCTTCATGACCTCTTTTGGCTGGCTTCTTACCTATCTGACTATTCCTTCTCAGTCTCCTATGCACAACATAGATCCTGTTCTGCTACTGGGAGTATAACTTCAGGGTTCTGTCCTAGGCCCTCTTTTCTTATATTCTCCCCTCCACCCCCTTGGTTGTTTCATTCAAATCCCAAGGATTCAATTATTATCTCTATGCAGATAACTCCTAGACTTAGCCTTACTTTCTCTCTCCTGTGGTCCACTTCTGCATCAGCAAAAGTGTGGTGGACATTTCCAACTTGCTATCTTGTCGGCATCTCAAATTCAACATGTCCAAACAGAACTTATTATTTTCCCCTCAAAAACTACCTTTCTTCTAAATGTCCCTATTTCTGTCAAGGGCACCGCCATCCTTCCAATCGCTTAGCTTTGCAATGTCAGTGTCACCACCAAGTCTTCACACCCCTTTCCCCTACATAGCCAATCGTTTCTCCAGTCTTCTTGTTTCTGCCTCCACACCCCTCATATTCCTGGCCTTCCTTCCACTCATCCGGCCCTTGTTGGCCCTAGACTAATACAACAGCCTCCCAGCTGTTTTCCTTGCCTCAAGTCTCTCCCATCCAATCCATTCTTCACACAGTTGCCCACATTACAACCCTACAGCGAAGTTCTGCCTACGTCTCCATGGCTCAGTAAAGTCCAGTGGGTCCCCATCACTTCCAGGCTCAAATACAAACCCCTCCGTTTGGCATTCAAAGTCCTTTGCCACCTGTCTCCCATACAACTTTCCAGCATTATTATACGTGACTCTCCTTCCTGCACTCTGCAGTTCAGCTCATCTGGCCTTCTCGCTGTCCCTCACACACGAAAGACCTTCCATCTCCTCTCTGTGCACTGCCTCTTCACTTCTGACTCTTAGAATCCATAGCCTCCTTCAGTGCTCAGCTCAAGTACTGACCCCTCTTAATTCCCCAGATGCTACTTACCTAACCCCCCCCCCCAAATGATCTCTAAAAATTTCTTTTGTAAGTATGCGTGCATGATGTTTCTCTCTGTGGGATGTAAGTTCTTTGAGGACAGGCCTTTTTGCTGTTCTTGTCCTTGTTTTCCCAGCACCTACTACAGTACCTGGGATACAGTCACTTAATAAATGCTTGTTTTGGGCTTGACCAATTATTTCCAAGTACCTGGTCGGACTGTTGGTGACCTCAACTCTACTCTCCAAACCCTATATATCTCAGCCCTGTCAATCCAATGCTTGACACTAATGGGAGGGAAGAATGCAAAAATCCCTCCCCTAGATTCCTCAGAGTCCTTGGAGCACCATCTACCCCCATTCTTGGTAGCTGCTCAGATAACAGAGGAAATTGCCTAGCTGAAAAGGCAAAAGATAGGAGTGGGTACAGGTTTTAGCCCAGACATCTGCTTCAGATTTCCTTGCCTCAGGCTTTCCATAGGCTCAGGCCTCTCCCATATGGCAGATGGGTTACAAGCTCACATGGCCTCATGGAAGAGACCACTTTACAGTATCGTGTCCCAGCTTGCCTCAATCTCTCCCCAGATTCTTCCTGGATTATGTCTTGGTTTAAGAAAATTATTCCATTTCCCAAGAGACAATCCTATACCCAGAGCTCCCAGACTCAGTTCCCCTGGTCTATCTGGACCAGTTCTGGGGACCTTCTCCCTTACATTTAGTCCCAACCCCACCTCCTGACTACTGGACTATTAGGGATATATCATCTTCTTGAGCCGAGTATGAGCCAGAATCAAGAACTGGTTCAGCCCTTAACAAGAATCAGGGCATAAGACTGAGACAAGATTGGCGGTCAAGGGTAGAGAGTGAAGCCCAGGAACAGCGTACGTCTGCAACGCTGCTCCAAACAGCAACTTTGTAAGAGCCAAAGTGCACTTTTGTGACCCTGCATGTCTGACCAAAAGAGTCTCAGCTGAAAGTGGAACAGACTATGCCTATATACCTACAAAGGTTTCAGGGGGACAAAGCATGTCACTGTCTTTAGGACCCCACAGCTGAGCTGTCCAAATACCAACGGTTGCTGAGTTGTTCCTCTTTCTTTCAGCAGTCCCCCACTACCTCCTTCCTCAATTTTCACCACAGCAACTCAGAGTCTCTGTTCCCCCAGGTCATCCTACATTCCTAGTAGTACTGATACCCCATCACAAAGTTCTCTAACCACTAGATATCCTGCTAACTGGTCTAGGACAAAGTGCAAGGAGGGCCCACTGGCTCCTTGACTTAACCAGTTGGTCAGGGCCCAGAAAGATCTCTCCACCCATCCCTGCCCAATTCTCCTAGATCCGGACCTGCCCTTCTCTACCTGAGCAAGAGAGCAGTGATTCCCTAAAGTCTCAAGAATTAAATACTCTGGCTGATTCTGAATTACCATGTTCAAGGCTATTCCCATGAATCCCATGTCAGGATAAACTCTACCTCTAGGGCTCCTGAGAGACAGTGGGAAGGGAGGGGAGAAGGGAGAGAAGGTTGAGAGGGAATATAATTCAATTCCATTCAATCATCCAAAAGGGGGAAGGGTTTTTGTTTAGCCCTGAGTCAGTACTGGGCTTGAAGCTCTCAGGATGCTGGTAATTCATGTCAAAGTTGATAGGCCAAGGAACTGGTTTGTTTTCGGACCTCCCTGGAACCATCTTGGCTCTAAATGTCCTCATAAGCAAGGCAGGAGGTAGGAGACAAGAACCAGTTTCCCTCAGGGCCTTCAGACTGGGTCAATATTGCTTGTTATATCCAATCAACTGGGAAAAGTAAGAAGAGGGAAAATGCTATTAATAGTTATCATCTGAGAGCCCTGGCAGAATGCACAGGTGTTCCCCTACCCTCTGTAAGCTGCTTTCCTTCTTCTAGCCCTCAGCCTGGAGACTTAAGAAGAGTAAGAGAGGGAACCCCAGCAACCAAAGACTGGGTGGATCAGCAAAGAAAATCCAACACTAAGGTAGGTAGCTTAGCCTTCAGCATAGCCAAAAGACAGAATGTAGGTGGGAGGGGATGTAACTCTCATAAGTATTCATAAACAACCTAAAACAACTAAGAGATTGGGGAACTGGGCTAAATAGGTGTGAGGCCCCAACTAATTAGACCCTAGAACAAATCCCTGTCTGGTACTGTCTTCTAGAGGCAGGGGTAACTAACCTTTGACCTCTAGGAATGCCCATCTAGTTAGCGCTATGAATAAACTCTTAAGACATCTGAGACAGTAGAGAATGAGGCAGAAAGGGTTATACAGCTAGAACACCTATCCTTCAGAACTCCCATCTTTTCCTGGGCTCCCCTAGGCCAAGACCTGGACTCAGCAGTCTTTCTGAATCCTCTTGCTGCAATCAGCTCCCAGACACAATGACAGCAAAGTGCAGGAAGAATGCCTATTGCCTATAACTAGGCTGGAGCTGAGCTCTCTTGGGCCTGGGCTTCCTTTCCCCAGGATTTATCCAGATTACCTGCCTTGACTCAGGTATATACCATTTCTTGAAAAACCTGATGGAAGAAACCCACTGGACCTCTTCTGGAGGGTCGGGTTCTGGTGCATGAGGAAGAGATCCACTCAACTTAATTCTAAGCTTCCCATCAGTGGGTAGCCATCTCTCCCTCCAAAAAAAGCAATTGGGAGTTACATAAAACCGTAACAGGCCAAGACAAGATAAAACACTACCAGATCATGGCTCTAGAAAATAGAAAATGCCTGAAACAAAAAGCTTCCTAGGAAACCCAACTCCTGCAATGGGGCTGCCATCAAAGGCACCCTACCCCTAAGTAACTCTAAACTCCCATGGTTTGTTCATCTCCCCCCAGAAACTCAGGATTCCCCTCTTCAATGGAAGGCTTCAAACCCTTTCTGCCAACAACAATCTCCTCGCTCCTTGGGTGCCTTCTTTTGTCTGAGGAACACCTCACACTTCTAGGCCTGATTTCCTCCACCTGCACCCACACCCCATTGCCCCTCATTTCTATTTCCACCTCCACATATACCCTTTTACCCCACTTCTTTCACCAGCCAATGTGGCATTTTACTCTCATGTGCTCAAAGTAGATTTCCTTTACTCCACAACCTATGCCTTAGCATGCAGGATTTACACAGGTTCACATATGCACCAAATCTTCCCCCCACTCCCAGTCCATTCCCACCTGCCCTTCGAATCAGGGGGCTTGGGTTCAAATTGGACACTTACTATCTATGTGACCTCGGCCAAGTGACTTAGCCTCTTTGGCCTCAGTCTCCTCATCTGTAAAATGGGGGTTGAGGGATGTAGGCCTGGATGACCTCTAAGTTCCCTTCCAAAGTCTGCCCACCTCTGATAGGAAGCCACTGGCCTGGGGAGCCCTGGACTTTGTGTTCTGTGTTTTAGGTCCGCCCCCCAACACTAACTGTAGTTGGCCTTGACCCCGGGCTGGAGAGTGACCCTTGAACTTGGCACCGTGAGCCCCGCTTCCTCTGCTGGCCGGTGTTCGCCCAGGCCCCTGCACCCGAGCCCCGGCCCACCCCACGCCGCCCCGGCCCCGGTCCCGCACCTGGTACTGCGCCGCTGGCCCCGCGGGCCCGATGGGGCGGAAGGCTGCGGCCCCGGCCCCCCCCGTGCCTCCAGCAGGCCCTGGACCCCTCAACGCCGCTCCGGGCAGCATCCCGGGCCCCGTGGGGGGCGGGGGAGCCCCCAGGGCCGCCGCCACCGCCCCCGCGCCGGGACTCAGTGGGGGCAGCGGGAACCCGCCCGCGCCGCGGCCCGACATCGTTCCGTCCCGTCTGGCCTCAGCCGCGATCCAGGTTCCGGGCTCCGCGCCCGGGGAAGCCCCTCCGCGATCCGAGCTCCGGGGCTTCCGGGTCCGAGCTCCGGTCTTTACTAATCCAGGCTCCGGGATTTCCCAGTCTGGGACCCGAGATTTCCTGATCCGGGTTCTAAACTCTGCACTGATCCGGCGTGGATCGGCTCGGTCCTAGCTCCGCTCCTGGGCTGGGGGGAGGGGCGGTGAAATCCAGGTCCGGGCTCGGTACCGCACCCGCCCGCTGAAAGTTCAGTTCTCAGTGGGGGGGGTTGGAGGAGGGGCAGCAGTGTCCTTACTTCCCGCTGACAGCAACAAACTACCGACTCCACCCAGCTCCGGCTAGGCCCCGCCTATAACTCTTGTCTCACCCAATCCAGGGCCACCCCCTCAAATCCCGCCCCTCGCGAGAACCGCCTCTAACTGCCGGCTTCCCTCCCTCTCTTCGCCAGAACCCCGCCTCCTTCCCCTCCCAATCCCCGCCAGCAGCCTCTTCCGCCTTCCAGCTCTGCTCCCGCCCCCTGCGGGAAGCGGGGTAGGGGGGTGGGATGGACCCGAGCCGACCCCAGAGCTGTCAGGAACCTTCACCCTCTTCTAACCAACCTCCAGTAAATTTTACCGTGTTCACTGTGTACCCAAGACCGTGGGGTGCCTGGGTTCCCCATTCATTCCCAGAGGAAGACAGAAAGACAGCAAAGGGACAAAGACGCAAGCAAAACCAGCCGGTGCAGTCTCTGCAGGGCTGGAGGCGTGGGTGGGGAGAACTGCGCTCCCGCTCCCATTCACCCTCTGCCGCGACCCCCTACTTGGAAGAAACTGATTCCCTGCCCAGCGCTGCGTGATTGACTGCTTATTCACATTAGATTGAACATTCACTAGTCTACACTTTAAGTCGGTAGGCATTTATGCAGCCCTTACCTTGTACCTGGCATTGTGCTAAGCCCTGGGGATACAATACAAGCAAAAATAAAGACAGTCCCTGCCCTCAAGGAACTTACATTCTAATTAATAATAATAACTAACATTGATATAGCACTTACTATGTGCCAGGCACTGTACTACACTCTCATTTGATCCTCCTAACCACCCTGGGAAGTGCTATTAATAACATCTCCATTTTAGAAATGAGGAAACTGAGGCCAACAGGCGAAGTGACTTGTCCAGCTAGTATGTATTTCAGGTTGGATTTGAACTTAGGTCTCCATGACTCCAGGCCCAACACTGTATTCACTGAGTCTCCTAGCTGCATTGTTATTGTTTTTCTAATAGGGAAAAGCAATACATAAAAAGAAGTTGAAGGAGTTAGAGGTGTGCAGGGGCCTGGGGCCCGGGAGTGGAAAAAATCAGAAAACGAAAGTTGGCTGGCTTAAGCCTTTCTTCAAAATGAAGGTTCAAGGGGGCTATTGGGAGAAGAGGCAGAGGGAGAGGACAGCTGAAGCCTGGTGGCAAAATCCAGAGAGTGAAGCATCTCTGGTCAGGGTCATTTGCCAAAATGGAGATTTCAGGAGGAGCTCACCAATTGTTATATTGTATTGTTCTAATCCTAACCCTAACCTTGCTTGGCAGAGTATTATTTGTAGCATGAATTGTTTCACCAAAAAAAAATCTTCTGACATGCATTGTAAAAGGTGTTAATGGAGGATGGATCTCATCAATCTTCCATTACAGCATTTAAAGTAACTTGATTTTCACTGCAGTAGCAAAGAACTGGAAACAAAGTTATGATTGGGAAATGGCTCAACATATTGTAGTGCATGAATATAGTGGAATAGCACTGTGCTGTAGGAAACCTGTGGTTATGATGAATACATAGGACCATGGAAAGACTTCATTGACTGATTCAAAGTGCAGTAAGCAGAGGTTGGAAAACAAAATGCACGACTAGAACCATGTAAATACACACAGCTTCCTCTTGTGTGGTCTTTCCCCATTAGATTATAAGCTCCTGGAGAGCAGGGACTGTATCCCTAGTGCTTAGCACAATGCCTGGCACAGTAGATGCTTAATAAATGTTCATTGATTGACTAACTGGTTCAGTATCTAGGTGTCTGCTCTTTTCACTGTTTAATCCAAACATCCACTTGGTATACATGCCAACTCTGCCACTTCCTATCTGTGTGAGTCTGGCAAGTCATTTTAACCTCTGTAAAACTTGGTTTCTTCATCTATATATAGATATAGATATAGATATAGATATATGGAGACTGGACTAGATTAATATTTTTTTAAGTCATGCAAAACATTTCCATATTAGCCGTGTTGGGGGACAGGGGAAGCAAGAAAAATAAAGTGGGAAAAAAAAAGCTTCCATCTGCACTCAGGAGTCCATCAGTTCTCTATCTGGAGGTGGATAGAATTTTTCACTAGATAACTTTAAAAGTCTAAATCTATTATAGATGGCTTCCAGCTCTAAATCTATGCCCCTATGATCTCCCATTGGAGTGAGTCTTTTTCCTCTCTGTTACCCTCTTCCTACAAACTGGTTGGCTGAGCAGAAACTGCTGCTTTCCCTTCCTCCCAAGAGCCAACCCATCTTAGTATTTATTTATTTATTTAATTATTTGTTTATTTGTTTGTTTGTTTGTTTGTTTGTGTATGTTTGGCTTCTTCTTAGATTCCCCTGGTAAATTGCTGATCGGCAGCCTGCATTCTGAGAAGATGTCAAAGGCCTTCTTTCTCACCCTCAATCTTTACCCCAAATGCATTTTTCTATTTGAGAAAAGGTTTAATGTGACCACAAGACATGAGTAAAATCATTTAACTTTTATTTGTTTGTCATTTTACATTTCTAGGAAAAGGGGAATGACAACTTTTACCCCAGTGTCCTATGGTTCAACAATTAATAAAATAAGACCATAGATTAAATTTCTCAGGTCAGACACTATTTCTGTTACTTAAGGTATGACTTAAGGGATTCCTATTTCCATAAACCGCCAATTCTCAGCTCTTTCTTTTCTGGGTAAATTTATCGAATTCTGGGTGAATTTATCAAATAGATTTGTGACATCATGGATTCAAAAGTTTCTTTCAACAATGCAGATTGCAACCCATCCAGGTATATCTTGTGAGACTTTTGCTGCCCCCATATGTTTCCCAGAATGTGTTTTATTTACTGTGCATGTTTGTCTCAGGGGCTTTGTTTTTCTTTTCTTTATTTTCTCTATAGCATTTGGGGAAGTGGGGAAGGCAAGTGAAGATAGAAATAGGATGGCCAAAAAACCAAAACAAAACAAAAAACTTCCACGGAGGCATTATTTTTTTCAAAAATGGAGAGAAAAGAAGGAAAGCTAGAAAGAAGACCAGACAAGCAGAGCAGCTTTGAAAGGTAGAAGGTGAAGTTATACACTTTAAAAGAAAAACAGGAAGTATATAAGAGAGATCTGCTGTTTCATGTGCAGCCTGAGCTTCTGAATATGGCCAGTTTTAACGTGGAGTGGGCCTTTGAGCATGCCCAATTTATCTAACATGGAACTCAATGGTCCCTTACCATATGGGTGGAGTAATCTTGATTGTCTTCGTGGGTCTTTAAAATGGTTAGAGGAACAGATCAGGTTCTCCTCCACCATTTTTCTGCAGTGCTCTTTTCATAAAGTGAGTGCATGACTAGAAATAGGCTTGGGGTGTGTGTGTGTCTGTTTCTGTTCTATCTTGTTTGTTCTCGGTTTCAGATGTCTGTCTGAGGTGATCCCCATTGGGCCTCTGAGTTCCAGCCATGGGTTGCAGATGGGATGGTGCAAACTGGCATGGAAACCCTGAAAGTCGTGATGCCAGGGATTCTGAGCCCCAGGAGAATTTTGGACTTGGAACTGGGACATTCCTTTACTGGAACTGAGTTAAGCTTTGAACCTAATCACGTGCCCCTCCCCACAGCCTGAGGTGGTGTAGGGGAGGAGGAGGATTATGCTTCCCACATGTTTGAGGGAGTATGTATGTCTTTCATATCTTCTGAAGAAAATATTCCTTTGTAAAAATTCTACATGTATAATCCTCTTATTGGGGAATATGCAGGTAGGTGGCCCAGTGGATAGAGCACCAGAGTTCAAATCTGGCCTCAAACACTTAGCAGCTGTGAGACCCTGGGCAAGTCATTTAACCCTATTTTCTTCAATTTCCTCATCTGTAAAATGAGCTGGAGAAGGAAATGGCAAACCATTCCAGTATCTCTGCCAAGAAAACCCCAAAGGGAGTCATGAAGAGTTGGACATGACTGAATGACAACAAATGTTAAATATATGACATTATAAACTCCCTCTATTATAAACTCCAAAGTTCCAGCTCAGTACATCCAGTCCACAACATCTCAGCAAGGATTGGCTTTCAACTCTGGAGCTAAACAAAAAGTTATTTGGATGGTGGAAATGCAGAAAGATTCAGTGGATCCAAAATTCAAAATTGTTAAGAATTTCCCTTCTTATGTTTTGCATGACTTCACATGTATAATTGATAGCATATTGCTTCCCTTCTAAAAGGGTGGGGAGAGGCTGGAGGGAGGGAGAGAATTGGGAACTTTGCATCAGCTGAGCATGCCAGACAGAGATGAACTCAATGCACATGCCAGTCCCCACACAGAGCTGATACTTGAGAAGTGTTGTCGTATGGCAGTAGTTTTCAACTTTCTTTTTGGGTCATAGACCAGTCACAGTCTGTTAAAGACCATGGTCCCCTTCTCAAAATGATGTTTTTAAGCGCACAAAATAAAACACATAGATTTGCATAGGAAACCAATCCTACTGAAGTACAGATATCAAAACTTTTTAAAAACAGGCTCACAGCCCCCTGGTTAAGAACCAATGATATATGACACTGAGACATGGAATAGAATTGCCTCTGAATTAAAAATGGGACCCAAATTCTTTTTGGGGTGAGGAACAAAGGTCTTGACTTGGGCCTGTACCCTATCATAACCATGTGGTGAAAAGAAACCTTTTTGATTGGCTATGGAGCTAGTGTACAGTCAAAAGGTATTAGTCAGCCTAGACATAGCTTTCTAGTCACCTAAGTACAAAATCTGGCAAATGAGCCTGAAGCTCTAGTCTCAATCCATGCTTCTGACCAGCATACCACCATAGCAAATGTAGAGGAAGGGAAGCTGGGCCCAACTGAATCAATGCTGTATCCTGGCTGAATATCCTTTCTATGCTCTTGTTAAGAATACCTTCTTTTGTTAACTGCTAGATCATCTATGGGTATCTCATTTTATTTCAATCCCAATCCTGAACCACTGGACCAGCCTAAGTCAGGCCTGCTCCACAGCAGCTGCTATGAAT